TGTTGACAGCTATCCAAAATGGCTGACTGGAGCACTCTGCAGATGACTTCCGAACTCTCCAAATCCTGAAAAAGCCCTCAAACACCCAGGTTTTTTTTATCAACCTGCTTCCTTTTAGGAGAAGTCAACAAATCTGCTACAGCCATGCGCAACCTCATTTGATATTTGATACTGTTCGAAGAGGAGACAGCGCCAACACTTACTGCAAAAGTCGTTTGGTTTGTTTGAGCAGCTACCGCACTTCAAAAGCATCGCCTTACGGACGAATGGCAGCCAGCAAGCCTGCAAGTTTTGCACCCTTCAGCCGAGATGTTGTGGGCCGCTTGCCCTCGTCATTCTGGAATGCACTTCGGGAACGTGCTGAACTTTGGCACAATGCATATTCTGAGACTTTGAACTACGAAAAGGCTGGCTGCCAAGCTTTGCATCGCAAGGGCTTGGGAAGCGAAAGGCTAAGTGACCTAGTGGTTTGTCTGGCGTGTCTTGGGTTGCCAGTGTTTGCGCTGACAAGACCTGAAGTGTTGTGAAAGTCCACGTTTTGGAAGCTTCGGAAAGCTGAGCCAGGCCTTCAAGCAAGTCCTCATGAAGCTCGCAGCCAAAAACACCTCGCTTCTTCCCGATGAGCTCAAATCCTTGGAGTCGCATTTCGGCTTTGCTAATTGAGTAAGACCTGGGCATGTGAGACTTGTATTGGCTCCTGGTTAGGTTCCCATCGGAGGTGGGGCCGGGCGGCCGAAGCCTTTGGGGCTTTGCCTTGGCAAACTTCTCGGACGAGACGGCCTCTTGACAGCAAAAGAGGTGATCATGAGCACCCAAGATCGCAATTGTTGCTGCATCTAGAGGCAGTGCTCCCGAGATCACGTGACTTAACCGGCCGGGCATTAATTATGGAATTATGGAACCTTGTCAAGTCACTTTTCGGTCCATGAGCCCTCTTTATCAGGAATCCTGAGTACTCGCGAGAGAGAGAGAGAGAGAGAGCCCCCTTTTGAGCCACCCCCAAAAAAGGTGGAAATTCGTTGCACAATCCACTCAATCCGCGTTTAAACCGCTTCCAGTAATTCGTACAAATCTTTGCATACAGACCATACCAAGAAGCCTCAAATTCAATCCAATCCTAATTCAATCCAAATTTAGACCAGACCTGGCAACCTCCAGGCAACGCATGTTTTTGACAGTTTCTTCCGGGGCTAGCCATGCATTCCCCAAAGGACCACTTGTTGTTGTTTTGTTTAGGTGCTCCTAGCTCTCCTTTTCGGGACACAACGAACTTAGGCAATGGATGGGGTCAACTGTGGCAGGCTTTCACCCGGCAAGGAAACGTCTTGCGGGACTTTTCGGAGAGTGGGCAACGTAATGAACCCCCAAGTTACTTGATGGGTTTTACCCGCAACGAGTAAAGCCTTGACTCTGAAATCACGAGGGGTTTACAAAACGAGTCTGCCCAACACGGGCTGGGCAGTGAAGCCCGGAGGTGAGAGTACTCTCGCCTCCATAGCCTGAACGAAAGAACGAAAGCCCCCGTGCCATCCTGGCTCAAGTTGCCACCTGCCTCTTTATTCGCTCCACTGGCCATTTGGGGTTGTGCTCCTCCTCCCGGGGGTGGACGAGTGGTTGCGAGTGGGGGCTTGAGGCCACACGCTGCAGCCATTGCAACACAGGCTGTAGGAATCCCCGCTCAGAGCAGCAAGCGTCCCGATAGCAGTGCCAGGGGCCGTCGACCTGAGCAGAGGTGGCCTAGACAGATGCCTGATCGGAGAACCAAAACAAGCCGCGGGGTTTGGAACTGAGAATCGGAGGGGGCGATGGACAGCAAAACCTGTGACAGAAGAACCGGCCCTCGGAGCGGTGTCGTGTACGAGCACGTCCCTCCTTTAATCATGTCCCCGAACCTCTCTAACGGCGGGGGGGTGGGCGTGTTTGGAAGGCTGGGATTTGCGTACCGGCCCACTGACGGGGGAAGAACCGGGGATCCGGGCAAGAACTAAGAAAACGCCTTGAGCCGAGGCAGCGATTTGGCAAAACTACTGAAACAACACAGAAGTGTGCCGGTTGCGAGCAACAGCCTTGCGGAGGCCGTTAATTCAAGCATGTTTTTGCCTGCCGGTTTTTCAAACAGAAACAGCAAGTGATGGAAATCAAGTCAATGAGCCATCCAGGGACCTCAACAGGAAAGAGATCAGATGGAGAACCAGTGACGTCCGACGACGAGACCAATTGAGTCGTCAGCAGATGTACGGATGTAAACAAAAATGTGCAATGGGAATGGGACTGAGTAATCCAGAACGGTGAGCCAGCAAGGGGACCTGCAAGTGGGATGGAATTACTAGTCAGGCATACCGGTCGCTTGTGCCCAGATCTCGCGGGTCGCTTTTGCCCAGGACCTCGCGTGTCGCTTGTGCCCAGGACCTTGAAATCTGTGGCAGGGCCGCAGTATCCGCCACATGGGGCTTGCGTCCCGACCGGTCGCTTGTGCCCAGGCATTTGCGTTTTACCGCAGGAATAGCTGCTTTTTATGTCCAAGTCTACGCTCCTGCCATTTTCGGGAGCATCATGCTCCCCTTCCAGGAGGTTTAGACGTGAGGGTTTAGTTTAGGGTTTGGGTTCAGGGTTGAATGCCTCGAGAATGGTTTTTGGCGTGAAAATCTTGCATGTAGCCGACTTTAGGTTTCAGCCCTGTAGAACCTGAAGTGCTAGTCGGAGCCTGTCATATCAAGAGCCTTGACATTCAGGTGGGTCTTCATAAACGAGTTTGGCATGGAGTGCGGGGAGGTACTTTGGATGGTTATATTATAGAGTGTTGAGATGGATGTAGGCCACAGGCTGGATTTTGTCCACTCCAAAAGTAGCCATTGTCTGATTGAAAGATGGCAATTGATGAATGTGAATGTAGCCTGAGCCGTAGTCCAGCAGACTCAAGAGTTTGCTCGCTTTTTGTTAGTTGAGAATGCAGTGTATCATAGTCGTCATTTATCACCCGCAAGAACAATAGCCGTTCCTTGTCCTCACTGACCACAAGCAAGCTTTTTTTGGTTTGTTGAGCATGCAGCTCGTTTTTGTCAAGAGCTTTACGTCCATCTGTACTTGTTAGGTGATCCCTAGCCCAAACCTGGGGAGCACAGCTTGGGCAATAGAAGATGGTTTCACAGGCTGGGTCTAGAGCTGGGAGGACACACCATCTTGTAGACCATCATGGGCCCCGAAACCACGCCGCCATTTTGTAGGCCAGGCCATGGGCCCCGAATGGATTCGAGTTTCCCAGTTGATGGTCAAAATCTGGCATGAGCCTACGTGGGTTTAGGGTGTAGGGTGTAGGGTAAAACCCCTAGTCATACACCAATCCCAGATTTGCAAATGATTCACCTATTGAATAATTCCCCAAGTCATTGGGTTTTATGGTGCCACCGGATCCTGGGCATGTCAGAGGGAAGTTTCCCGAAACAAAGGGAGATTGGGTACCCTGAGGGTACGCAGGGATTGTGAGGGTTTCGGATGAGAAAGGGGCCTCGGGACCTTGCCAAAGGGGATGCAGTTTGAGTATGTTTGAGTATCGTGAACCCTTACAAACAGCTGTGTAGCCCATGACTACCCTAAGAACGGGCGTGATCCCTGCAGACCAACCATTCTATCGTGTTCCCGGGATCGTCCCCACGACTGTTGCCGGACTTTACCTCGCTGCTACACTCTCCTAACAGGACATCTTCCTCCGTGGAGTCACCATTGTACATGGTCACATGGTATACGCACTGCATGCATGCACCCCCTTGCAGATTTACAGCTGGGCAGGTTTTAGCCGTGAAGCGTAGGCACCCCTTGATTCCAAACAACATACCCAGACCTCACATCAAAGCGCCGTGAGCTGGGATGGCCCCAGTCTGTGTTCGGTCAGCGTGAGAACACTGAATCGTCATGCTGCTTTTTAGTCCTTTTTAATCAGTTGTGATGACGAAGTCACAATTAACCTCTTCGTTTGATATCCTGGCACCGACTTCTCGCTGATTTTCTGCTCATTTAGTCGATCTTGTCGCCCCTTAAAAAGTACTAGCTGCTTGTGGTCTTGCTTGTGGTTTCGTTTGGGGAAGAAGTGATGGCTGTTCCATAGATTCCATAGCAAAAGTTGGTGAGCCATCAAGTGGGCAGAGCGAGAAAGAGGAACCCATGTGATAAGCGCAAGGCACCGAAAATAATTCTCCTCGCCTCACACCCCATTTAACATGCTGCTGACCCGCCACGGAAGCTCTCGTGGTGCGCAAGCGCCTGGCCGCTTGCCGTCATCCCTTTCCGCATAGCAGCAAAGCATAGAGAGACAGAGAGTGAGAGAGATAGCACACTGTGGCGCAGCTTCGTACAGCATCGGGCAGCGCGGTATGATTTGCATGCTTCAGCGGACACAAAAGTGAGATGCAAAAAGTTCAGCTGCAACGATGCTGGGAAACCTCCTTTAATTATCGCAGCGTCGGGCTCCAGCTGGTGGCTACGGCCGCGCCCGGGGAAAACCCCGCGTGAGCCCTAAACGCTAAACTAAACGCGCCCATAGAATAATCGTACCCCCACTGCTGGTGTAGTGCCTCGTGTTTGTGCGAGAAAGAAAATCCACTATTTCGTATCCCGCATTATTTTGGGGGGTTTCCTGGGGCGTGGTGGGGGGGTAATTTCGTTCCCTTTACATTTTGAAGTTCCTTTGGTTGTATAATAGAACACGGCATGGCGATTTTTTGAGACAGGGCATGCGCAACTAAGGAGCACATGCATTTGATTTCGGTCTCGGCTTTTTAGAAGACATGTACATGATTGGCTTCCAACTATGGGCAGTAGATATAGGCTGTCAAGTAGACGAAATAGTTATGGGCGTTTCCTGAAAAGCTGTCCCTTGTTTATTGTGACAAGAATTTAGTATTTTTGCATACTTGGGCATATAGAAAGGGACCTTGATTTTCGGCGGTTCCCATATCGACAATGCAAGGCAGTGTGAATGGCCAGCATTTCTTTGGGGTACGACTGTGGAAACGCCAGGACCCTAAAGGAGGTCAGACTTCAGGTCGCACGTGGCCTCCTAAAGTCCGTGGGGATGCAACGAAGAGCCTCCATCCTCCAACTCATGCAAGCTTTACTAGCCTGAATCTTTTTTTTTGCTTGCTTCCTGCCAAAGCCACTTAGCGCAAAGGCTAGCTCTGTGAGATTGATCTGAGTGCGCAGCCGAAACTTTGCCGCAGCTGAGGCAATGTGCTCAGGAAAAGATGTAATAGCAGCCACGTGCTTTCGTTGAGAATTTGCAGCGCAAGATTTGCATTGGTAGCGGAGCAGGGAAGCAATCCTTGGCGTAACTCATTGGACTGCCACAGGAGCCGTCGGAGAGAGTCTGCAGAGCCCACAGGCGCGGCAGAGTTCCTGGCAGCATCCTGCGCTGATTTGAGCTGTCCCTGGCACGCGCGAGCACGTCACGGCAAAAACTGTCAAACACAACCAATCGCGGCCTCTCAGTGCAAGTCACTCATCGCACACTGACGATTCTATTCATCAAAAATGTCACCACTACAAACCGAGCCCTCAGTCTGTGTCGTCATAGCGGCACCAGTCCCGGCCCCAGCGACTACAAGAGGTAGACACATCCCCACTAGATGAGGCTGAACGGGCCCAAATACGGCATTAGGCTGCCAGCGAGGATGACAAGATGCGAACATTGCTCTCGAGCCGTTTCACTACGCCCCGCTTCATATGCCTCCTCTCAATCTTGCGCTTGGCGATTCTGGCCTCAATTTGGCTACGATCCAACGGGGTCGCCTGCCACAGCTCTGGGCTCTGATCTCTGCCTATCCGCGGACGTCCCATTTGCTTTGCCTGCAGGCCACCACGAATCACATCTTGTGCCCGGAAAGGCTGGCGTTGTCTTAGCTTGCTCCGATTCCTCCTCCTACTTGCTCGACCAGGGGCTCAGGGGCTCAGTATGGCTCGGTGACCATACCTGGAGGATGTGGAGGTACTGGAGGTCCGCTCTGTGTCTTGAGGATAGCTTGGTTTGCCGCGCACCTCGCCCACATTCTTCTTCTCCTGAGAGGACCGCAGTTGGGGGGTTCTCCATGGATCGTCATCGGATAGGTCTGGGCGCACATCCGGAATAGGCGGCAGCCCCGGAACTTGTTTTGGGCGACTCTGTTGGTGCGTTCCATCGTCGCATGCTGGACACTCCGGGGCAAGTGGCCCGCGCTCGCCCTCTTTTTGGCGCTTCCCTTACCCTTGCTGTAGCCGTTCTGTTTCCTTTTGTCCTTCATGTCGAATTCTAACAGCTCGAGTCCTAGAATGGCCTGGGATCATGATTTCCAACGCTTGTTCGCAGCCCTCATGTAGCACGCGATCACCTTGTCTTCGCACAAGCCCTTCAAGGTCTCAAGTTCAAGTGGCCCCCCGCTTCTATCCCGTTTGCAAAGGACCTGCGTCCCTCTGGGATCGCAGTGTCCTGCAGATTGTCTTCACTCCATGGTCGTCTTCTCCGTGATCCGCTCGACTGCGCTTGGGGCGCTGTGATTTTCTTTTCCTTGGCGGCCTCCGCCAAGTTCATTTTGCTGCTCGCGCCAGCCATGGCTGGTACTGCCTTGTCCGGCTAAGCCTAAGCTCTGCGCGCTCCCGTCTGCTGAGATTCTGAACACTCGGAAAGGCTAATCACCCTTTAAAACATGCGGCTCCGGGCCTTGCTACATGAAAGACTGCCTTCGCTAAAACAGCTGGTCCTCAGCCTCACCACGCCGCTAGGTTCATCTCCGAAGGGCCTCCAACGGGCAACGTATCCCCGTCCCAATCCACCAACGTGACCGTGCCTCCACGGCCGCGCAGCAGGCAGCGGATCTGGAAGCCCACATGACCAGTCAAAGCAATAACGAGCCTGGAGTCACACTCCAGGCGCTGAAGCTGCGCACGACCCGAGGCCAAGTCCACCGTCACGCCCGCATCTTTCACGGCTCCATGGCTCATCAGCAATGAAACATCTTGCTCGACAATCTCAACATGACCAACTTTTATACAACCCCGCGTACAACCCGCCCACAACTGGTGTAGCCATGGCTGCGGCAAACGTTTTGTGGCATGCGTTGCTTCTTCGCATTGACTGTTTTTGCCGATCATCGGCCGTCTCTGCTCGCTTGAACCCTCTGGCTTTCTCAACTTGTGACCTCTTCTTCGCAGCTTGCGTCAAGAGGATTGTGCCTTGCTGTTCCAAAGCCTCGGCCTCGGCACTGTCATCTGCATGTCCAACATCAGATTCCTGCAAAGCCTCCATGAGTTCCTGGTCGTTATGCCGGTCACCATGTTGACCTTGTGCTCATATGTGCAGCCCTGCCAGAAACGGGTCGGTGTACCATCTTTGTCGCCCCCAAAGCTATCTGCATTACCGACCATGGGATTGATTGCTGCCAGAGCATCTCGCAGTTTTTCGTACTCATCGCTGCCACCTAGCGCGGAAACATCTTTTGTGGCGTGTATTCAGAGACATCAGCCCTGGTCAACAACCAATAGCATTATGTCAGCCCTTCAACCCCAGTGCCCACCTCCTCAAGTTGCTTAAGTTGGGCTTTGAAAGCGGAATCATGGGAAACGACAACGTGACCTTTCTTCCGTTTGAATTATTCATCGAATCCATAAAGAGCTGAACGCGAGGACAAACTCCACTTGTTCAAGTTCTGACTACAAATGGCCAAGGAGGATGCGGACGCCGTCTTCACACTTGAGGCTGTTGATGCCAAGACTTTCGGTAGCCTTCCAAGCTCGTCCCGGTGTGCTCTCCACAGGCTGGCCTGTCTGCCTGTCTGCACTTGTCAATGGATGTTGTCGACTCGAACAAGCGGACACGCCTCCAGAATACGTGCATAGACTTAATTCATCTTAATTCGATTGCGTATCGGCCGTAGTTAACTTACGGCCGATACGCAATCGAATTCACAAATCATTTGGCTAGTGGGAGATGCGATTTGTGACTTAAGCTTCGTAAACACCCGTAGGCGGACAGTTTCGGATAAATAGGAAGGCGGAAACATTTGGTAAGGCTGAACAGTGTCACAGCTGACCATCCCCACTAGGGGATGCACAGCTTTGAGGAAAATGAAGAGGAGAAAAAGAACAAGAGGAAGCCGAAGAAGAAGAAAGGGGATGGATCCTACATTCTATGAAATATGATAACCTTACAGCTCTTAATGAGAAAGCTTATTTTTTCATTTTTTTGTTATTTTTTTAATCTCGTTCCACTTCACTTTCTTTTTACGTTCCTCACCCCCTCTTTTTGATATTCTCGCAGGTACAAACGGTCCTTTATGGAACAGGGAGATTGCAAGAGGTGCCTGTGATTAAGTTTACGATTCCTTAAAAATTGTAGGGGCTGCTCGAATGATAGTCGGGCACACCCCTCAAGAGGATGGAATGATGAAAAGGCTTTGTGGAGGTTGCAGCAAACATACGGCATCTAGCCCAGCTCAGAACTCAGCGTTTGAATGTCGTGCCAGGTCAATATCAATTTCACCCAGCTGGCGCTCACGGCTGGCTGGACTGCTCCACCTTGTTCTATTGAGCCGCGTGCGCATCACCGAGATACTGAAAGTGCATATGATCCAGCCACTACGCAGGAATTCGAAATTGTTCTCAGATGAGACTGGCCATGGCGTGGGATGGGCTGTAGGCGAGCTTGATCTAGCTCATGATGGGACCATTCTGGCGAGCCTCGGCTGGCACACTAAGAGCTTGTGAGGGACATGTGGTTTGCAGGTCAATATTCATTTAAGTCCATGAAGGGTCTTTCTGCGGTCCTTCTGAGAAAACTTAAGCATAGCATGGACATGGGGCTTGTGGGTGCAGCCCCACTTGCAAAGCAAAAGATTTCCATGCGTTTTGTCCAATTATCTTGGATTTGCGAGGGGCTCCTGGCTTTTCATGCAATTGCAGCGTAGCCCCTCCCTCCCCTCTGCCGTTACAAATCCTGGACATCATGCAACGGCAAAAGCATGTGAGGAATCACAGGAAGCCGGTCAGTTCTGGCCGAATTTGGTGGGATGTGCCGGGGCAGCCTTTGTGTTTTATGAAATATTAGGTCAATGGCTGAGGCGCCGCCCCCCACGTGCAACACAGGGTGAAGATAGGGGCATTTGAAGATTCGGCGCAGATCGCACAGAATCACGCTTGAAGTCAAGTCGCTGTTACACTGGCTCGAAACAACATTGAGGAGAACATGTGTGTCAAGACGCACAGGTAGACTTGGTAGACTGGGTTGGGTTTGCGAGATTGCTATGCAGCTTCCAGGATTGCCCGGGAGCCAGTAGTTCCGGTACAAGGCGAGATCAGCAATCATACGAGACAGGAATCATACAGGGACTGGGAATATGGCCGCAGGAGTCCAAGGCCCAGATGCCGTTGCATACCCTATGGCTGCAATTGGTCAGCGCAAGAATTCTTGCACATTGCTACTCCTCGTCGCCATGCTGGCTGGATGTCAAAGCAATCAAAATTCTAGTCAGCGGACGCATTCCGCATTCGACGAATTCAGGATCTTGAAAGTGTCACTCGATTCTGGACGAGGCCACTGAATTTGCTTGACATACAGCAGGCAACCAGATGGACATCGAAAGCTAAACAAGTGGGAAATGTCCGGGCCCGGGCCATGCAACACGAAACAGACCACCAATATAAACCAAGCCTTGTAACACCCAGCCAACGTCTGCAAACATATAAGCCTAAGCATGCCGTTAGTCTTCACATGCTCTCATCGTTGGCGACATTTGGCAACGTTAGGCAATTTCCGTTGGGGGTGTTTGACCCCCCACGACCCCAAATAGGTTCAAAGAATGGCGTGAAGTCAAATAGGCACCTGCATGGACTATGATGAATGTTCATTCTTATCAACTGCACGATCATCCATGCTCGTTGCGCTCTCCTCAACGCTTGCCACTTAAACCAAATTCCGCAGGCCAGAAAACGAGGTCCCCAGCTCCATTTTTGATCAGAAGCAGGCAAGTGCCTCTGACATCTCACCAGAATCCAGCAACCTCTGAACATCATCTTTCACATGGCATGTGCTCGTCCTCGGCCATGTTTTGCGAGAGTGAGGTCTGCACCCAGCCACCCGCTCCAACCACCCCGTGCTGGGCTACCCCTTCGATCTTCTCAAAAAGTGGCCCATTTTCATTCCAGGTCGCTCATGAGCTGTGGTGAGTCTTCCAGCCTTCAACGTTCTGCAAATTGGGTGGCGGGTAGGGTGACATGGACATGGGTGACTTCAACCACGACCCAACAGGAGCCACGACATGACAAGTCTTGAAATGTTAATTGCAGGATCCTTCGTTAATCTTTTGCAAGTCGTGGGCTGCCCCGTCAGGCGTTGCAGCACAGAAGCAACGCTCGAACGATGCCGGACTGGGCGGGGTTTCACGGCTATAGCGGGTGGAGCTGGTCAAGGAGTGGTATGGGCACGCGGGAGACAATTCACGAAGAACCGCCAGCAGGGCACAGGGTTTGCGAGACTAAAGTGGAGCCATGGCAGCACAACCGCAATTCCTGTGCTTGGCCAGGCAAAACAGGAAAAAACATAGTATGAGAATGCTTGAGAGACATGCCTAGACCGTAACCTCCGAGTTTTGACTCAGGAAGTGCTCAAGCTCCTTCTTTCTGGACTCCGATTTGGCTTTGCGTTTGGCGGACGTCTACGGAGAGAACAGATCAGTGCACGTACTTCTCCTGAGGATTCTTGTGTGAAACACTATCCAGGCTCAGGTGCCTCTAGTTTGATCATTTCTAGAGCTTCTACCGTCAAGGTCTTAGGAATTGGGGGCATGTCAGAAGGGATGTGGTTGGATGCCCTGTTTTAGAGGTTTCTACGCAGTATCCCGTGATCAAGTTGATATGGCAGACTCGGAAGATGAGCTGTGTGTCAGAATGCTAGACCCAATGCCTTTTATAAAAATGCCCGACGATTCTGTTGCTTGCAAAGGAAGGGTCGCCATCGCGTCTTTGTCAAAGCCGGAGAGCCAGGCTGGGTTGAGAATTCAGGGTTTTAGAATGTTTTGTTACTTTGTTAAAGTGTGCACGCTGCTGGGATTTGGAACCAGTGCTCAAGTTGTTCAGCTTGTGGCCTTTTTCGGCCATCATGACTTGAAAATAATGCCCGCGAGTGAGTGATGTGATTCCTCTGTGTGTGCATGGCTTGTCTTCATCAGAACCTGCATGTGCCTGTGGGGTCGTGTCGGGAAATTTCAAGCTTGCTGCTTGAAAGCTCCGGCCAGTCATCGGATACTCGCTTGAATCCAGGTCTATGGAACTATAGGCCTCCTAACCACCTCGTGCACGCAGCTGAGGCTTCCGCTGCGAGTTTCTACTTGACAGCGCAGCAGCACGATACGCACTCACTGGCGTGGCAGCCGGCATATTTGATGAGGCCAGTCGCCCTGAGACAATGGCCCAAGGGATAGCAAGCAATGATGAAGGAATTCTTGCACGTCAGCAGGGCCAGGGACGCTGACAGTTCATTGTTGAACTGGAGTTGCCAGACGAGGGTGATTCTGTGATTCCGCGTTTGAACAGTCTTTTGTAGCAGAGGCTGGCGAGGCCGCAGTTCAAGAGTTTGATCCGTAATCAAATTTCGAGACACCTGTGCATCCTTCTACTGCTTATGCTGCAGCTGCTGCAGCTGCTGCAGCTTTTGTACTGTAGCTGTTGCACTTATTTGCAGTGTTTGTGTTTTTGGTATTTTTTGTGTTCGTTCTCTTCTTTTGGTTGTTCTTGTTGTTCCTGGTCTTGTTGTTCAGGAGTTGAGCCCATTCATCTTGCTCAAGGATGTTGCAGTCTCAGAGGCCGGCAGGGGCGTTGTGGCCCATCATCCTCCTGCACGCATGGATACTACAGTAGCGCTCAGCGCCGAAGGGAAGAATTAATAGCTCGTGGGATTCTGCGTTGCCTTTAGCTGAAGAACTAGGGAGCAGCCTCTTTCAGTCTTTTTGTCGACTTGGTTATTGTAGTAGTTCATGTCCGCAGCCCCACGCAGGTCATCGGCTCTGATCTAGCCTCCCCTCATTTGGGCAGCTTGGTTGATGGACAGGATGTATCCCGACAGCTCTGCCGCTTACATTCTGCAATGCCTAAAGCCCTGACGGGTTAGCCTCTTGACAGCTTTGGCCTACGCTGCTCGCTCCTGCCGCTTAGCATCTCTCAGCGCTGCCGGCGGACGCTAACAACTTGTGACGACCTGCGAGGGAACGAGTCAGAAGGCCTGCAAAAATGACACATGCAGGGCCTCTGGAAATAGGCTGCCTCGCACTCCAAAGTGCTTAGAGTCACAAGGCTGCGCGTGGTTGCAAGCTTTGCAGCTGTCGTGGCTTTTTTGGGGGCCTGGGAAACTTCTCGTATGTCAATAGTAATGTGTCACCCCCTTTCATATAGGGGGATCCCCCCAGCTCTCCCCGAACAACTGACGATTCTTTGTAGTACGAGGCCATCCCCCAAATTTGCCGCGCAATTAAAATCGATTGAAACATGGATCTTGGTAGTAGCCACCAGAGGCCCGGATCCTCAACAAGCAATTGTTTCGGAACTTGCTGGAATAATAATGATGATAATGCATTCTCCAGACGGCGAAATTTTTCAAGGTTTCAATAAAATTGATTTGAATTTCAAAGGCCCGCCAAGGCCTGAAAAGATACAGGGTTCTAATCAACGTAGTCAAATTTGAAAGGCCCAAGGCCCAAGGCCTCAAAGAATGAAATATTCTAATTAGATTCATTTAGATTTTAAGGCCCAAGGCCTGGAAGAAAAAAGGATTTTCATCAACTTTGTACACGGCCCAGAGCCTTTGGCTATAAGGCCAGAGACTGGCGAATGCATGACTCCATGACATCCGTGAAAGCCGTGAAATCTGGTTTCAATTGGTTGAACTAGATTTTAATTGCACGAAGTTAAGATTTTATCAGTTCAGTGTGAAAAGTCACAGGGGTGGGCCTGGCCAGAGTTGCCATGCTCTTGTGTTGTGTGTTCATATCGTGCTCTCGTGTCGTGTCTCGCAATCCCAGGCATTCCTGTCCTCAACGCTGCAAGCGAGCCCTTGCGCCTGGCAAGTGCCTCGCGGCGCGGCAAGCTTAAAAGTTCAGTGCAAGGTTCGTGCAGGCCGCCTTTCAGACTATTCAGAGGCATTCGCAAAGCCAAATGTCATCCTCCAAGCACGTGTTCCCTTTCAGCAACGTCGCTAGGCCTAGCATGTTCTCAGCTGACAAACCATAAAGCCAGAGCATGATATGTAGGTGCCCATCTAGGTTTGGTGCCGATGTTTATAGTAGCGAAAGATGTGCACCGTTGGGCATGTATGTGTCCTGGCTGGTTGCTTTACGGCCCCTTTTCACCAGCAAAGCCTGCACCTCGGTAGCTGTTGCCGGATGCAATCGCATTCGCAGACCACGGTTTGATGTGAATGGTACGTCTGCATCCGCTGAGAGTGTTGTCTCTGGACAGTCCCTTGCTAAGGATTGTTGGCAGAGCCAATTTGACCGTGCAAGGACAGCTGTACCGAGCCTTTCCAGGAAATGACAACGGTAGCTGGCTGACCTTCATCAGTGTTGCCAGGAGTGGCTCCTGCTCAACAACCTGCAGTTCAGCCTGGGCACTTCGGCCTTCCCAATGCAACCTTACAGCGGGCTAGCGGCTAGGAGTCATCCTGCAGAACTGCATAGATCATAGATGCTGCGTAGAGGTCCAGCAGCTGTTGCACACTCTGTTCAGAATGCAGCTGCCCGTACTTGGACTTGTTCATGAATTAGGTGCTTCAGCTGCCTAAGTTTCAATCCAGCGTGTGCTGGTGCTGGGAAGCCACTTTTGATCACTCCGCCTCGCCCCTACTTTGGCAAGGGCGATTCATATAGCATCTCCAAAGACCCTAAAATTTGCGTGGCAGCTATGAGCAGTTCCCTGAGTGCAGGCAGGCAATGATCCTGAGACTGAAGCTTCAGCAGGCTGGCAGAGTACAACTTCGATCTGGGGCTTGCAGGTTGTGTAGCCTATGCTCTTGCATGTTTGTACTAATTTTGCGGTCAGCCGCTAACCCTCCCAACTTTTGCTTGTCTTGTTACTGTACGCTGCAGGGACACTTAAGAAACACTCCATAAGTGTACGTAGAAGGAAGGTAAATCAGAAGATATGGCGAGCATCCTTGCACCTGGTGTCAGACAGACTACAGCAAGATGACGCGGCCTTTTAGGCAAATTTCAGATGTTCAAGACAACAGAAAAAAGAAGCGGCCACGTTCTACGGACCCCAGGCACACAAAGCCCGCAAGCTTTGCCTCCAAATGCATCCAACAATTTCAGTGTTTGGAAGGACGGGCCGCTGACGTGCCATGGGCATGCTAACGCACCTTGGCACCAGCGTGCCCTGAAAACGTAAGACCTACTCGTAGTAATAATTCCAACGACAATCGGACGCCATGGCGAGCTCAGCCTCTGCCGCTGAAAGTCTGCAGCACGACTCAGGCCTTCAACTTCACCGTAGCGCTGCAACCAGAGGGCGCTGGGGCCCCCGTCCTTGTCTCCATCACAACACGCTGCCGCATCTTGAGGGCAATCGGCAATTGTTTCCAGAGCTTCGTTCGCTGAAGCGTTGCGAAAGTTGCCCTGATCGTGCAGTGAATAGATAACCTTAGACTTTCAGAATCCCAATGCAGATTCCACTCTTACAGATCCGAGCTCTCTTGACTCGCAGAGTGTTGTCTGGCTTGCTCTTTTCAGGGTGACGTGTGCTTGAAGGCTGCCAACATTTTGGGTTCCATGATAAAGCTGCAAGCCTCGCAAGGCCGCCGTGCAGAGCGTGGCTTCCTGGTAGCCTACCCCGACTTCGACGGCCGGGGCTTATACAGTTTGATGATGTTTGATGGAGGCATGGCATACCAGGTATGGCTAATCCACAATGAGGACAACAGAAATTGCAGGCTAGATGCAGTTCAACCTCATGATCAAAAGTAGAGACACGCAGACATAACTTCCCAAAGGGCAACCCTGCGTGAAACGGTAGCATAAGCTGTGCAGCCTGAGTTAAACAAGAATGGGTGCTGCATAGATTAGATAGTCTTGAGGTGGTTTGGATCGCAGATTCGGGGGTTACACCCTCCACACATGTCTGCCGGTCGGAGCCTGGCACTTGCACATGAAAGCTCTGTTGCCATGCTTGAGCAGAAGCCCCATATCATCATGTGGGAGTGAAAGTCATGAGCCCATGAAGTTTCGTGGAGGGCAACATCCAGGAAGGCAACTTAACCCCACTCCACCGCATTGTGGCAGAAGGCATTCACCCCATCAAATCTACAAACCGCGGGTGCTTGTGAAGTATGCCGCTCAAGTATGTGAAATTAAGTGATGTAAGGGAATTAAACTTAAGAGTGAGTAGATGTTCCTGTCCTGCTGGCTGCTGCGACGGGTGTGATTGCAGGGGAGGGCAAATGCTGTCCTCAACAAAAGAAAGAAAGAGAGTCGGAATGAGAAAGAAAGAAAGAAAGAGAATGGCATCTTTTGAGGCAGTGGGAGCAGGCGATAAGTCTCACGGCACGGTTGAGAAGGGAGGAAGGCGGCATCATGGTCCTGCTAGTATCTGCTTGTGATCCAGCCGAATTGGACGTTTAACAAACTTGACTGCCATAGCATTCCGGCACCACATGTCTCCAGCACCCCGACTCTCCCTGGTCGGACCGAACAAGACCAGCTCGCAGCGTTGTTGCAGTCCTCCATGGGGGCGCGAAGCTGTGAGAAGAAAAGAGAGAGAGAGAGAGAGAGTGCGGTTGGCGAAAGCCATGGTGATATCAGCCATGCGTTAGAGGGTGAGGCAACAAATCCGTAATTCGGGGCCCTTCGACTAATCCGTTTTGCAGCCACGCTCTCGTTGAGGGGTTCTTTTTCACCAACCGGTCAGCCCTACACGGGCTGGGCAGGATGCCCGGGGGGACTCAACCGGGGTCTCCCCAGAGCCCAAACGAAAGAAAGGAAAGACAGCAGTGAGAAGAAGAAATAGAAGAACAAAAAAGAGACCTTTTGCCCTGAAAGAAAGAGACAAGACTCTGATGGGATCGTGGAACCATCGAGTAGTGAAAGGGAACCCCTGAAGCATCCTGGAACAATTCTAGAGAGCTCGCCGCCGACTCTTGGAACAATCTGGGAAGGAGTGACTCGCGCAACGAGGCCAATCTGGTGAAATCTAGGGGCGATTTCAATTCAACATTGAGGTAGGAGACAAAATTAGCATGACAGAGCCATGAACTAGGGAAACGCCTTCGCTTATACCGATCGCATTGGCGGCATCTATCTCGACAGCATTTCCTTTGGGACGCCCTTTGCATCATGGAGCCTGTTGGAGAAGAAGGCCCACAATGTTCTACGTTTGCACTCGTGCGCGTTGGATCACCTATGAGCTTCTTGTTTCCAAGCTACATTCTAATTCCCAGGGTGTTGCCCAACTTGACAAGTTGAGAATTGACCCTGATCAACTTCTCTTTACTGTGTTTGTTTGCCGAATACTCAAAATGGCAATCGGAGACCTTCGGCTCGTAAGGATCATGCCTGGAAGTGATGAGAGGCCCCAAACTTCCACCATGTCTTGTAACTGTGTTGTCTAGCGCGAGTTTGGGGACTTGCCACACAAGGAAGTTTCCGATCTCACACCGCGCAGACCACGGACAGCAAGATTTGGGGGTGCGCTTTGCACGGTGGTTTCGGCCATCTTCCCCAAACCCCAAACTACAGACCAAAGGATGACATGGGTGGAGAGAGGGTCGGAGAAATTTTGATTATGGACGACCATACCATGCATTTTGGGAAGCCGACTAGAAGGGGACTGTACATCGGCAAATATGAGATCGATGCTATGCGACCTCACAAATGAGGGAAGCTTTGGTTCTAGCACTGCTGCTTGAAGGGGGCATTTCCGCGCAATGTGACCAATGTCACAGAAAATATTGAACTTGCCGGGAGCAATGGTCTCCATCCGAGTCCTCCACCTGGTTGACACGCGGGGGTTACGGTCACCGAAGGCAGCAAACACCCTGTGGGGAGCAAGCGTGTCATGGACTGGAGACTTCTGAGGAAAGGGACTGCGGTCATCATGAATCAACTCTTCCTCACCTCCCATTTGGAGACATCGTGTGGACATGGCAGGCTACGGTGCGCAGCCCCGACTTCTTCCACAGGGGGGTTGAGCCTTAGTCTAAGCAGAAGAAAACGGACAAGAAACAGAAGAAGAAGAAGAAGCTGATGATGATGATGATGATGATGATGAGAGAGAGAGTGAGCGGAATATCTCCTGATCTCCAGGCAGCAAAGCGAAGCGAGAGTGAGTAGCGAATACGAATAGATGGGAGCGACTTTACCTTTAAAGTTCTTTCGTTCCACTAGTCGCTATAGACATGTGGTCTTTGCTACAGGGCGGGGGGCACCGTGCTGACAGGTTCTATTCAGAAGCTTTGGGCAGCACCTCCCAATGTCAGCCAATTTGCTGACGGGACCCTGCTGGAGGGTTGAAAAGCTGGGTAGCATGCCATCTCAGACTTTTGGCCCGTTCGTCACCAACCTAGCTAGCTACCCAGCTGTATTCGCTGGTTGCGATTGCTGTGTGAGGGAAACTGAGAGCAGGAAAGTGTTTGCCTGAGCTGCGGGAGGAAGTGTCCACCACGGGGCTGCCCCGTCATGCTGTCTCTGCACGGTGCCTCTGCAAGTGTGGGCCCGGTCTGGGGCCATAGCCGCTTGGCGGAACCTTCGCCAGCAGTTCTAGTTCCAGTAGCACATAATTAATTACCACTGATAACTTATTTGGATCCCAACTGACGAGATATAGGTGCCGCGCAAATTCGAGAACAATCCTAAACGTAGCTTGCTTGGGCGTGCCTGCAGAGATTTGCAGCGTGTGCCGATTGATGTGCTGAGCAACTGCCTGCTGTTTGGTGAAAGCAGTAACCGCTGGATGCCTTGCATTGTGCAGTCCGAAGGCATCTGGTAAGTGGGGGCTTTGACACGTAGCCTAGATTGAAAGAAAGCATCATTTCAAGGCTGGGAAGCCTGAGATCCTGGAAGGTTTCGTGACCTGTTCTGCATGATGCAGCAAGATCCTGCCAGCTCTGAGGCTACGAGCTGGGTGGAGAGATGCTTGGAAGACTGGTCATGTTCAACGCTGATTGTGTTCAACCTCGGTGTCTCAACTTTTGCCTAGCAGCTGCCAGCATCAGCTTTGCATGTACTGCTCTTAGCCTCAGCATCAGCACAACCAAGGGAGGGTTTCCCATACGGCGCCTGGCTCGTGCAGCCAACTAATCGCTGGCACTGGGGGACAGACTGGGAAGGCCCAGGCGCCTCTGTCAGCGCCACTAGAAATGCTGGCTCTGCATTCTTGACTGAAGGCCGCCTCCAAATTCAACGGGCTTTCGTGAAATGTCGAGCAGCACTTGAGCTGATGAAATCGCAAGTTGCAAGGTGCTTGCACCGAAGAGGCGTAGAGATCTTTGGTGGGGCAAAGTTGGCGTGTGTTGAAGTTTGTCCAACGGCATTCCTAGCTAATGGAACCCTTTTCCACAAACTTTTCCCAGCCAAGCAACACATGTGCGGATCTATTGTACTGAGGGAGACATTCGCTACAGGCTGCCTTAAAAGCAGAGCTTGAACGCTGAGCAAGTGCAACGTGCATTTCTTTGCTAGGACCGGACCAGGGCGAAATGGGCAAATGGAAGCACATGGATCAATGCTGCTTCCAGGCTTGGACAACGCCTTCGGCGCCCTACACTACGTTTGCGATGCACTGCCAGGATGTGTTTGTCTTGTGCTTGCACTACACTTCCTGCATCGTCTCTCAGCAGCACTCTCCTCGCCGTATCTCGCCGTTTGCGAACTATTCAATATTCATTCCCAGACTTCTGATGTCGCACCACTCGGCATTTAGAATCCGTGAGCAAAGCAAGTACCAAGGGGGGCTACCACGCAGCCAGAAAATGAAAGCTTCTCAAGTCTCTTTCGGGCAGCTCGGGACTCCTAACGATCCAGCACGCATGAGTAGTGTTCGATGAGGAGCTCCTGGCAATGGGACTGAGAAGCGCCGCACGCATAGCTTGGATGACACCCAGGTGCTGGTCACAGGCAGACTTCCTAAGCCTAATGTCAGTGATCCCTACTCTGCTTAGGCAGCCGTAGCATCTAAGTTCAAGGTAGATTTTCACGAGAAGTCTTGCCCACGGAACGTTTCAGCAGTACTTGGGATCACAGCCTCCGCGCAGGGCACTCCATGGGTGGGCATGGCTGCTTTGTGTTTGCCAGCCACTTCCCAGACTCTCGGTAAGCGATTTGGTTAAAGTACAAATGTCAACAGATGAAAGCCCTAGACTCTTCAAAAACATTCTACGGACATCATCGCTCGGATTGAAGTTCTCAAGGATCTTTTGCTGGGCGCCGCTTGCGCCTCGGGCTGGCCATCGCTGAACTCGTATTCTGGAGACTCACACTCTGGCCACTTGTCTAGAGTGGGACATTGAATGAGGAGACTGAGGTTCGAGTATGTATCTTTTCGGGGTTGTGCAACAAATCCCGGGAGTGTTCTGTGCGCAAAGCTTGTTGTGTCTCGTTGTGTTACGGCCTAGACATACACCGCGCGCATGGACAGCCGCGGCACTGCATAGGTTTAGGACTAGGACCCTGGATTATGGCCAGGAGCCTGCCTGCATGCTGTCAAAAAGTACATGGTGTCATGTTCGACGCTCAAAGCGCTACCCAGAACTGACCTGACCATGGCCGTGCTCAGCGCTTGTGAAGGCCTCCTCGATGGAACTCGCCGCGGTTTGCTGGAAGAAGCACGATTCGAACATGCCGCGGACTGCACACATCATTGAACTCATTGAACACGCACGCGACCTGGCAGATATCGCTTCGCGTCATCAAGCGCAGATTGCCTGTGGAGGACTTCCTGCATGAGAATCTGAAAGGTGTTCCAATGCTTGTGATCTATGGCAGCAAGGACAGCACGTGCAGATCATCACGTATCCTTCCTACAGCATTTCATGCCAGATGTCCAAGTTGGCTGTCCAGCTGAGCGTGCCCGGAGCAGCAGCCAGGGCTGGTGCAGGACGACAACGTTCCGCCTCTGCAGCCGCGCAACATGGTCCGACTCCTCGAGTCGGATGGGCGCCTGTAGATGCATCGAGTTTTTGGTAGGAGGCGCTTACTGACCTGCCTGAGTCGCCAGCAAAACCGTTGTCTGAAGAACTCCAGGCGCCTTGTTTCAGGGTCTCCTTAATGTGTCTGCAGTCGCTGCTCCTTCTGAATGCGTAGCTGGAGCCGAGGCAAGACAAGACTACCGTGGAGGCGGTGGAGCTTCCAGGCTGGTTTTGCTGAACAATACGTGAACTCACCAAGCCAAGCATCTGAAATTTTGATCACGTCTGAGCTACACCGCTAGTTCCGCAATAGTGAGCCAGCTAGCCAAGCATTGTCCGTGGGGCTGGCGGCTAGAGTTCGGCAAAAAAAGGTTAAATCAGGCCATAAGTATGTTAAGAAATCTAAAATCCCAAGCCAGGAACAGGGGCAAAGCTTGTCAGGGTGAGGGCTGCTGTCGGACAGGGGAGTCCTTCTGGCAGGTGTCGGCCACTGGTTTGGACAAGGCGAGCCTGCTCTCGCGCACTGGTTCCGGCAGCGCTACTTGTCCAACAGTTGCTTTCAGCAGCAGCTGCTTGTGTGAGGTAACCTGGCGATTCATTGATCAAGCTGCAAATCAAGCGTCTCTGTTTGCTCATTGCCCAGTCTATAGGTGCTTGATGTCAAACTTGACTGCGCTGCGCAGAAGTTTTCCTTGAAATTTTGTCGACATGGCCCGGACGTCCGCTGCATAGACACTGCATCAGCAATGGCAGCACTGGCTATGCCGCTGGTTTTGTCAGGCACTGGCTATGCTGCTGGTTTTGTCAGTGCAGCATCTTCTTCACAGTTGCCTTGTTGCTCTCCTTCATATGGAGTTCTTCTTGCAGGGTGCATTGTCTCCAAGCATCCTAAACCTGAAGGCATCAAGGCCTCGATGCCACGCCCCGGCTGCTTGCAGGCAGCGTGATAAGTGTGTTGCCCCATCCTTGATGTCAAAGGTTGGCTGCAAGCCAAGTGTACAAGCCCGCCAACCGGGGCAGGCAACACTGGTCCGTGACAAGGCATGCCAGATGTCAAGGCTGAACTCGATGGGGTGTGTACTCAGACTCAGAAACTGTGCATGACGTGGGTGAGCTGTGGCTTCTCGTCGTTGCCGGCTTTGTCTGAACTGTGCGGCATCCTGGCGAATACTGAGCTACAAGCCGTGGAATTCTAACGAGCATGTCAGGTTGCGTATCTCCGCCTTGCCCATCTGGCAGCTTCATGCCCTGCACAGGATATAGATCAAACATGGAGCAGTACAAATGAAGTGCGCGTAAGGATCAATAAAAAAGCAAATGACGATCGAACATCAAAATTCTCTGCAGGGATCCTGACGGAAAGCAAGGAAGGACATAAGGAAACGGGACAGGGGGACATCTTACGTCGCTTCTCAAAATCTCCACGTGCGGCAAATTCTCATGCGGCAAAAGCTTGTGTACGTAAGCTCCAAAGAAACCCCAAAGCTATACAGAATCTGCAGCTTTTCCAGGAAGCTACAGTGATGGCGTTAACTCCTGCAACTGACTTGCAGCACGTGCAGGTTCAGGACCTTCAAATGCTGCAAACTGGAGTTTCTGCAGCTTTTAAATGCTGTGATTTGCCCGCTTGTTTTCAAAGTAAGCATTCTCGGGCTCCAAGCCAAAGTGACCCCATGTGACGTCTGAACCTTCAGTTGTTGCCCCACATTCCACCATGGCTGGCAAAAAGCGACCCCCCGGCCCCCACCGCCTGTTTTTCAGAGCGGCTTTCTTCCCAGCATGACCCTGTATGACTTCTAATGTTTTTATGAACCATCTGGTTTGCAAATGGCGTGTATGCGCTTGCCTCCCCCACCTCTTTTTTGCAGCGTGGCCTTTCTTCCAACGTGCCCCCTTATGAGTTCTGGGGTGCAGAATGCTTACCTTGACTAAGTTGCAACCCCAAAGCCTGTTCTTTTGTCTTCTTATACTGGCGGCCAGTCAAAGGCTGCGATGAGCTGTAGCCACACCAAAGCCAAGCTTTTGAGCTTTTATCCTTTTGTTGGTTCTTTTACTAACTGGAAATGTTGGTTTCCTGATTTTGATGATGTATTGAGCAGACCTATGGGCTAGCATGCGCATGCTAAATTCAAAGCCTTCGACCACTTTCCTCAGGCTTGAATGCCAGCCTCGCCAGGGGCACTTACTTACCCGAGCTGCCAGAGTATTTTGAGTCCTGGCGGAAAAGTAGATGCAGTTTTATCCTTGCATGGATTGTTGTTGCGGTGTGTTCTGTTCCTAAAGCTTCCCAAGCTCAGAGCAAGCTAAGGAATTCACCGTGACCTCACCAACCACTTATGGATCCCGCGGGTCTCTCAAGGTGGGAGGTTCCACGCACCCAAACCTCCGTGCCAAGAAGTTGGAGTTGCTTGTTTGTCTTTGGCTTTGTTCAGGGCTTCAGTGGCCCCGGTGTTGTGCCTGACCTGCCCATGGTCATGCCCATGCTCCATGTGCATATATTGCCAAGTGTCCGACCGCTATGGCTGAGCTGGCTGCGTGTTTGGAGCGGTGTGTGGACGGAACGCTACCTGCCTCATACACACACGCCCTCGCTCGGTAAAAACACGTGTTTCCTTTCGTAAGTTCAGCTATACATTCTGCATGCTATCTTGCAGCACATCTTGCGGGCTTTTGCTTAATTATTCAAGCCCAATGAAGAAAACACACCAATTCCCTGTAAAGAGCACAGCCATAAAATCGCAATCATCAGGACTGGTCCCTGGCATTGCCCATAGCTTGTGGATTCAGAATCAGAAGGGGTGCCCGCAGTTCACTGCAAGCAGGTGCTTCAACAGATCAATGCGACGTGGCTTATGAAAAGTGGTCCTTAAGGGCCTGGTTGCTAGTCGGTTTTCTCTAACTGTCAGCGTTTAGGTGCCAAGCGGGTGATACTTGAGGAGGGTGGTTGTCGAACACGCCCTCGAAGCCTTCTAAATCTCATAAGCTCTGGCACGGCATATTCTGGTGCGACTCTCCTATATGTACTTGAGCTGTTTGAGCTTTCGATGTATCGCCATTGGGCTTTGCCGAGAGAGTGCCCAGGCAGCGGAGCCCGGCCGCATTTTTGTCCAGAGGCAATCGGCTTGCGAGTTGAATGAGTGTGAATGTCAAGGTGCGGAGTGCGGCGGTTTGTTGAGTATTGTTGGCCTGTGCTTAGTCGCCTTCTATTGTGCGCTGTCCAAACCTCTGTACCTCTTATCGCCTCGCAGATTGCAACCGGCTCTCTCACCGGACGCAGGTCCGTGGAACCCCCATGGGGCTGCATAGTGTTCTTTGGGTTAAATACCGCTTAAGATTCTCAAGCTGTAGTACCTCTCTTCTCAGGTCAGTGCTCTTTGCACATATTGCTTGGTGGCTGGTTTTGTGCAAGGTGCCCGGCAGCTGCACTGAATGCTACCGCCTGCTCGGGAATAGCGACTCTGGACACTGCTCGATCAGACCTGACCACTCAGGGTCTTTAGCAGCGTGGCCAACAGCAGCCACCAGCTTCCACGTTGGTGAGCCGCAATCGTTTTCGAACCAGTGGGCAGATGTGGGCAGCGTCTTCGCATCTGATGAATCTAATGACATCTAATGCAAACCTTTTTGCAGGACGCGGGCTCCGATGATTTCGGAGATCCATTTTGGCGAGTCGAGACCCTTAGTCGCACACAGACAAGCGGCCCGAAAGTCTGGTGTTAACCCAAGAAGACATTTCAGCAACAATGAGGCATGCTTAAACAAATTGTCTGGACTCTGAACCTTCCTTGGAAAGACTAAACAAGCAGATGTTGAAAAAGCAGATGTTGATCAGTTCTTGCGCAAAATCAGGCAACACAAGGAACCAAGCTAGAACTTGTCTCCAGAAGTTGCCCCGACGTGAAGCAACGCAGATCGATTTGCTGGCGACATGTAGCCTTGCGATGCCGAAATGTTTGTTTTGAGAATTTGAGAAGCATTTGTCCTGCATGTTTTACGCGGCGGAAAACTGCCGTGACCCCTACAGCACATTTTCGGAGATTTGCCCGAAACTCCAGGTTGAGGCCCTTCTTTTCCTAGATAGGCCAACACCGAAATTCCATTCCACGAGCAGTTTCTCCGTGCCGTTCTGGACAAAACAGCAAATCCCCTCCCCAAGGAGAGAAACTTTTGGCTGTTGTGTGGAATTTGCGAATGGCTTTTGTCAGCAAAGCAAGGCTTTGTGGTGCCACCTTTGCTTGTGGACTTCAGCCTGATTCCCGGTGTAGTTGTTGGCCGGGAGCTGGACCTGAAACTCTCGTCCTCCGAGTTTGCTTTGCAGCCCTGCCTCCTCACTCCTAGTTCGTTTGTCTGAAATGAAGAAAGGAACACCCCAATAGCTAGCCAATGCTACCCAAGAGATTTCAAGAGTTCATTGTTTCCGTGAAAAACTTCGACACTCTGGCCGCAGAGCCCCGGAATTCGCTTTTGAAAAGGCAGCCCCAAGCTCTGCCCCGCAGCCTTTTCCTCAGGCGAAGAATTGAAATCACAGCTTGCTCCGAGTTTTTGGCTTCTGCCTATTCCATCCTAATTATTCCTCTTCGCCTTCCCAAAATGCAAGAATTGCTCCGCTCAAAAACGCCTTGCCTCACAAAGCTACAACTGGCAACCCTACTCTGAAGGGACTTGTCCTGCCATAAGAGTTTCGATTTGTTTTGAGCTTGTTTCTGTCGAAAGTCCAAACGGTAAACATTTGGTGCGGCACAAATTTCGTTTACGACAGGCCCGGATGGCAAAGAACCTTTGAGAAACTACGGTTTGTGCGGATGGTTCTGACTGAGAAACAGATGCTCAGAGCAAGGATTTAAACTGTGCGACTTCGATCGTTCTAAATTCGTGCGGCTGCCCGACTGCTTGGCCCTATACTTTAAAAGAGAGCCCTTTTGGAACATGTGCCAAGTGCCGCTTTCAGGACCTTCAACGTCCGACGACTCGCACTGAAACCACGGCAAGGCGGTTCGGAAGAGAGAATCAGCAGGAGGACTTGAGGTTTTTACTCACCGCACACGCGCCAACAGAGTCCCTGTTGGCCTTTTCCTCTGGTCGTTGGTCGTGTTTTAGGGTTGCACCCTCGCATCTGCAAACTGCAGTTCCAGACAGGCCAGCGGCCGCCCCGTGCCCTGTGGGTGGATGGCAGCTTGGCAGACATGACCTAGTCATGGACCTGGTGAGCTCTTCGGATGTGGTGTGTATGTGTATGAGGATGATGTCACTGTAGGTTTGGGAAATTTTGGCGACGTAGGGGCTTCAATCATGGGACTACCCAGGGCCGACCGAATATGCACCCCCAAACCAATGAGGCAATATAATAACCTACACCCAGCAAAACTTGCCTTAAAGCGACACACTTTCAAAACCCGGCTTGCAAAAGACAGCCTGGTCTTCGGAGGCATTAAGAAGGCCAAGACGAAAGCCGGGTTTTCACGACAGCATTTTTTTAAAAGCGGTTTCGTACGGCTTTTATTCTTACAGGTGTTGAGCGGGCTGGAAATTTCGCAGCCTATCTCTGGTTCCAGAAGCCAGGCTGTTTGGCATGCTTTATTACACGATTCCTGCAGAATTACCTGCTTTAAAGGAGGTGCTGAAAGTCTTTGGAAGCCTTAACAAGACCTATCTCCCTACTAAGGCTTTATTCTGTAGGGGCCCCTGTACTGAAGGGCCCAGAGTATCCCCAGGCATGAAGATGCAAAGAATGCCCAACCTTAAATGCAATAATGAACAAATGACCGGACATTTAGAAATATTCTGAAGATCCAAGTTTGCTCATGTGCACACCAGCTGCAGGCACCATGTTTGCCTCCAGTAGTCTTTTGGCGGCGAAATGTGCGCACCTCTGCCGCTTTGGAAGCGCGGCTTGGAAAGTTTGTGGCGTGGGCTACTTGTCTGCCCTTGATGCACCGGCAGGTTCGGTAGCCTGTAGCTGGCGTCAAAGGTGCAGGCCGTTCACCATCATGAAACTCCTGAGGCTCGGATGGATGTGATGCCTGTCTGAACCAAGACGGCATCTTCCAGGTTGCGATGAGTCTCCTTTTGATGGATACAGTAGGGTTCAAGCGGAACGGTCACCGTGGCCACTACTTGGCCATGCCGCCACAAACAGATCCGAGCAACGCGAGCCCACGAAGCCACGCCTTAAGTTCAAGACATTTCAAGCCCATAAACGCGCACACAAAATGAGTTTGGCTATTTTGCTCATTAAAGCGCGCCAATGGCATCTCCAGCGATTCTGGCAAGGACTGGGAAACTGTTCAGCGTGGAGGTTCGCAGGCCAACCTGCAGTAGTAAGGGCCAGGCTGCCACTAGGCTGTAGGCAGAGAGCTGGGCGTGGCCATCTGCTATCATCTGCTCACGTGGTACATGCGTTAAATCTGAATCTCCTGTCACCAGATTATGATGTCCCGACGGTGGGGGCCAGCTAGCCCCTACTAGCAGCTGTCACAAGAATGTCTTCGAAGAAAATTTTCTCTGCATATGTTGCAGGTGGGGGCTGGCCCAGTTCATTCGGCTCTGCGCGGCGCACCCCTCTGCCTGGGCTTCGGTGCTGGTCAGCGGAGTCAGGCCGTCGCGCCTCACAGCCGCAGGACATCCAAGAAAGACTCAAGAGTGAAAGCTTCAGGAGCCGCAAATAGTGAGAATCATAATGTATTCACATCCATGTTCCTTGGAAACATGGTATCAAATCTGTTGGGATATGGAGCATGGTCAGGCTGCGTTGCATAATTGCTGCCATGTTGTGCACCGAGCGCGCTGTTTGATTGCTCGCTACTTGAGCGCTGCTCGGCGCCATTTCTCATGTGCATGATGCCGCGTTTCTCTAGGTTGGTATCTGCCTTAAACTGAGTCCCGATCCCGGCAATCACAAACAAAAATCCTACAGAACCCGTGATTGCTGCGAGTGCTACTTTCGCTAGCCTCTTCGTGGAAGGCTGGCTCCAGCAGGCATCGTAGGCTTCATTCAGCATCATCCACCTTCGTACCGTGATTTGTGAGAAGCGGCAGCCTGCCTCGATGACTCTACTGAAGGCTAGCCAACAAGCTCTATTTTGTCAGCCGCTACGCGCCTCGAGCGACTTGAATGCCACAGAGCACACAGAGCATCGTGTGCTGGTGCACATAAAGTGCACTGCCAAAGGTGGGCATCCTGTAGCATCCTTGTGATATTCCATCGCACAATTCATGTGGAATGTTGGACATAAGGTATCCCACTTCAGTCAGGCAACTCAAGCTTCCTCGAGTGAGTGCAAAAACGCCTTCATGGCCTGAACGAACAATCCGTGAATGCCATAGCGCATTGGAGACATCGCAGTTGTTCAAGGCTGCGCGCAAGGGTCCAGTTGCTGAAGCAGGCAAGTCTCCTCAAGTCGTCGCTGTTGCTGAGCACAGGTGATAGATGCCTCCAGCGCAAGTTTTGAGGGAGACCGCTGGGAAGCCAGTCGGCATGCCAGGGCAGTATCCATGGTGATCATGATTCTGCTGTGTTGAAGTTTGAGCATTCAATGCCTTCTGAGGACCTTCCCGGCGAGTGCGCTTCGGCCAACCTGCTGTTGATGGGATCTCCGTCCGACAACGCTTGGACTAACCGCTGCCCGTCAGCAGCAAGATAATTGTAAGCACTGCACGCGTCCACCTCTGCAGCCGAGCTGGCAAGGAGGCCAGACGTCGTAAGAGGGCCGAGGTGGGGCGGGGGGGCACGTATGGAAAAGAGGCCGGAAAAAGCAAAATCCGGAGGGCGTCATTGGGGGAAGGACCCAAGGGTTGGCCAGAGGTTGAGGCGAATTCAAGGCAGACTTCAAGTTCCAGATCTTGTAGGAGCAGCTGTGAGGATGGGGCGCAGTTCGCACAAGCCTCATACCCTAAGCATAAGGATGAGGGTGAGTGTGCATATCGTTTGGCAGGTTTCGCTTGCGCCTTTCCGTACATCCGCTTCGCTGATGCTGGGTCCAGTGATGCAGGACAACGTTTTAGCAAAGTTCCCAATGACAGAGATCATGTTGCAACAGTTCTGGGCCAATCGAGTTTCAAGCTTCGCACACATCAAATCTGAGCAGAAATCCTGGGAAAGAATGGCTAGGAAGGGCAAGGACGCCCATGTCATGTTGTCTAGCACAGGTTTGTTGTTGCACACGAGAACACACACAGAAGCTGATCGTGCATCCGAAATGCGGGTGCAGGGCGTGAACCCAAGAGTTGCATAGCCTACTACGTAGGCTGCTGACGGAGGCCGCGCCTTCATCTTGGAGGGCAGCTCATATTCAGCCGGTGGCACAGGACGGTCCAGCACCTGAGTTGGCTTGTTAGGTTGCCAAGATTCATCTCAACTCTTGTTCAAAAGCCAGCAGGCCTCCTAGCCCTGGGCCACCTGTCCAGTAAGCTGGCCCTCCTCGTCTACGGCACTGACGACAAAGGCCAAGTCAGATTACTAAGCCCTGGCTTGCAAAGCTCACGTTGCAGTGCTTGCAGCCAGGCCTGGCCCAGGCAGTTGCAGCGGTGCCCGTGGCATCTGGACATCACGGCCGGGGCACACGGTTTAACCGTCACAGGCATAATGGGACAGGATTCACGGAGTGCATCGGAGAGACAGGTGCTGACTTCCTTGTCCTGGGTCCCTCGGCAGCCTGGGAGGGCGAAGGCGGCATCCTGGCAGCCGGGCGCCACAAGCTGCAATTAGTAATTCCGTGTTGCATTTCGTGGTGTTGTGGGGGTGCCAGGAGGGTTCCTGAGACTGTCACCCGGCTTTTAAAGGCGATTCAGGGTGCAGTATGTCTTGCCGTGCTTCTGAAAGGCTGACATGCAGCAGGCCTGTCAAATTCCCTATATTCTTAATAAATGAAAATTGTGGGGGGGCGTACGTCCCTTTCCAGACCGTTCAACTTTCACTTTCCAACTTTCATGGGGCGGGGGTGGTAAATGAAAGTGGATTCTGGTCACGTAGGAAAACATGTTCTGGAGCTTGGTCATGTCCGTTGTGCACCGAGTTGCATGCGCAGTGATTCTTGCCTCTGCGCAGGAGGCTCGAAGATGCAAAAATCTTCAGGAAACCAACAGTTTTAGAAAATGGTATATATAGTTTAATGACATTTTGGTTGATGGACAGATCCCTACATGACCCTACGTACGTACAACCTCCGAACTGCAGTTATATGGTGTATCTAGGGTCGTGCAAGATTTTGTCCATCAACCGTAGGTGCTACTTTAGGGATCCACCAAATCAGCTTTGTAGAAGAAGCTGCATGTGAGCATGGGCTTAAAATTTAGAGGCTCAAGGATGATCCTTCAACCCACCTAGCTTCATCTTACGTTACTCCACGAACTCCTACACCCTGACCCTCGACTTTAGGCCCTCCGCCCTATACCCTAAACCCTCAGCCCTAAAACCCAAATCACCAAATCGTGGGCAGGAAGCTTGTCCAAGTTAAGGTCCCCTGTGCAAACCCCAATATGGTGTAGGGCTGAAACTACGAATTCAAGGCTAGGGCTTCGGGTGTAATGTCAAAACAAGTCTCCTAGTGTTCGAGCGTTACCCGGGCCGGCTGACCCACGTTGCAAGCATCGGCGCGGACGCATATTGGCGCATTGCTTCTGTACCCGAACAGACGCTTTGGTGCCTCAAGTGTGGTCCCCGTAGAACTATTGGCTTACATGCTGCAGGGGTTTAAGGCACATGGTCTATCCTTTGCCCTAGGTGCCTAATTGCGAATTGTTTGGGGTAACATCCTTTATGGTAACCACCCGTCAACGGGTTGCAAGATGCAAGAAATGCGAGTAGCCCGAAAGACTGACAGAGAGCCCAAGTGAGATCATGGCCTTGCTGCAGACAGGGATGGCGGACGGCCCTACGAAAAACAGGCCATGCCTCACTAACTTCATCAAGAACACCTACCTTTTCAAACGCAGCATGTCATCCCAATGAAACCCTAGGTTTTGCGTAAGGCTACTCAAGCAATTCAGAAGCATGCCAGTAAAGCATCATGATGGTTGAAGGTATCTCACACCGCTTTGGCAAGTTTCCTCCAGCAGCTGGACAGAGCCCGAGCACCCATTTCAGCGGGTGAAAGGCGCACTTGATGAGTCTTGTGAGCCCTTTCCAACTGGAAGAGTTCCGCTTTGCTAGGCTTGAGCGCAGCGCTTACCTCTCACTGCCCCGCGGAAACACAGGTTCGACTCATCTCGACTCTGCATTCTAGAACATTTGTACTGGAGCCGTGCGTGCTGTACAAATCGGCTGAGTCGCAGGCTAATGGCTAGCAAGAGTCACTCACTCGCAAATGCTTCAGGCTCTCACCAAGTCGGACAGCGACCTCGAAGGCAAGGTTAAGATGCTTCTGCGAATTAATATTCTACAAGACAAGGCCAATGCTTCCTTTTCCGAGCGTGTCCATCCAAAATCCGTTGAAGTCCCGTACATGTGTGAGCCTGAACAGGCCATGAAGTGCTCGCAACAGCCTCCGCATTTGTTTGCTACATATCCAGGCATGTTTGCTGTACTTTCACTTTGCCATCTACGCAGCAGATCCCAACAACAAACTTGGTTCATGGGTTCTCTACTTGGTTGCTGCGCAGCAGGCTCCTAGCCGAAAACGACCCTGCCATCTCAGCTGAGAACGTGCATCATTAACTTAAGGGTTGCTTCAAGCGGGATCCTTTGCCTGATGCTGAACCGTGGAGATTGCCCTGCTGGAGATGCCCACCCATACATCTGGATATATCTTGATGACCCAGTCGTTGCACAAAAGGAAGCTTCTGGCCCAGAAGCGCCAGCTGCCCTTTTGGCTTTGCCGCCGTGGCCGCTGCTCTCTGACGGAATGTTTATGCATCCTTGGTTTCTGTTTTCTGAACAGAAGCCGTGCGTTGTGAAGTCTGCCCCTTATCTTTTGACTGAAGTGCTGCTGCTGGAAGTCATGGTCGAAGTCGTGACCTTTTCGTTTCCCATCGGTGTGCATTGGCAAAAGGAATGGACTTGAAGCAGGACCTGGTGAGCGGATAGGATGTCAAACAGCACGAAGTCTATGTGGTAGGACTCCATGGGGATTCTCTTTGCTAGCACGGAGATACTGATTCGCGAGTTGACCTGCCACCAGTACCGAGGTTATCATGCTCAGCTCCTTTGATGTGCCATGATGCATGAAAAAAGGCGTATCAACTGCTGCAGTGATCGCGACATTGCTCCTGTGCAATCTGTGGCAACTTGCGTCATTTCGCAATCTCGGGCTCGCTTTGATTCAGACACCTCTGGTTTGTTAAGGCATGCGCTGGACCACATTCCCTCTCACTTGAAGTCTCGATGCTTGTAGTAAACCTTTGCAACAATGACGGCCAGCAAACACGCACAGCAGAGACTGCAAACAGGCCATGCGCATGTCGGAATGAGAGCCAGGCATGCATATACGCCCATACCACACTCCACCTCAAAAAGGTTTAACCACAACAATCTGTCCTACCTTCACACAGCCGTAACATGCCGTAACTTGGTGTGTCGAGCCCAATGCCTTGACAGCGCATGAAAGCCACCTTCTGGCAAGCAGCTAGACGGCTTCACACCGCTCAGCGCAGCTTGCGGCAGGGCAGCAGACGAAGGCTTGCTATGTAGCATATGTGTTGCATTGAGGTGTACAGCATTTGATGTGTGATAAGCCGGGCCCGACTTCTGTCGGGCGCGCACTGCAAAAGGCGCAGATGTGTGCTGTCATGTGCTGTCAATCTCTTGTAGCCATCAAGTTTGGTCTGCTGGCAAGACTGGCCAGCGCGGTTGTGTGAATTTATGTGCTAGCCTTGTCCTTGTAACCGTCTTGGTCTTGCATCGCGTCTTGTAGTCAAGGACTCTCAGCATTCTTCACATGTGAGCAATGAATGATTCTGCTGACAGCGTGTCGTACTCAATCAGGTGCAATTTTCAAGCGGATAGCATTCCGACATGCAAGAGCACAGTTTTGTCTAGCAACTCGAGCTGTGCATGAGGTGTGCTACAACTGTGGGTGAGGTTCTTGGCGATGCAAATGCCCCAGTGGGAGGGAAAACGTAGCTGCAACTGGCATCAACTGGCCATTGTTGTCAGCTTCTCTTGGGTGCACTTAATGTCCCTGCTCAGACGTCAGTATGCGCAACGAGTTAAACTTAGATGTCTCGCTCGGATCTCCCATCGTCTTGTTCAGGGTCGCCCCACTGACACGCGAGGTGGTGCAGCTGGTTGCCAGATAGTGACAGCAATCATTGCCTAACTGATGGTCCAAACCTGAGAATCTAGACATTGCAATCTGTCCGAACCAGGCCACGGACGCACTCCGAGCAGCTGTGCAGTCTGAGATCGCCTCTCATGCTGAAGCCGGGCTGAATAGGGCATGGGCTTAGCTTGCTAAGCTTCACGGTGGGCAGGCTGGGTGAACACCGAATTCCTTTGACATGATCATGAGAGCCGCCGTCACATGGTAGGACCTGTTCCTCGTTCACACCTTGTGCTGATGGTGTTGAACGAAAGAAGCATGAAAGTTTTTCCAAAATCAGCGCAGCGCGCTCGGCCCAGCGCCTTGCCGCAACCAAAAAGCATGCGAAGCACGATGGCAATTGTCTCAGAGAGAGCCAAGGCTTGCATCAACAACCTGACCATCTTCCAGAAGCCCAAGAACAGCCCGTCCCTTGTAAATGTTGTGCCTGATGGGCTTCATGAAAAGCTCAGCTGCAGTGATGACCTGGTAACCTTGGTGAGACTGCTTCAATTGCTTGCTTTTGACCGCTTCCGTTAGGTTTCCGGTGCAGAAAATCTCCGGCCTTGACTCCAAACGGCGCGATGCCACGGGCTTGAGGCGCTTCGAGCCCTGTCCGGAAGGCTTGGAAGACTGGGCACAAAAGACGCTTCGTAATTGAAATAGCCAGGCCTTCACAGCCTTTTGATGACTCTGAAAACTGAAATCCGAGTAGCCGGGTTATGAGCCTTGTCCGCCTGTCGTCAACCAAAGGCCTTGCTTTACCTTATAGACTCTGCAGGCATAACATCAGAGCCCCGTAGGCCTTTTGAGGTCCTCCAGTGTTGTTGCTGGTGGGGAGGCTACACCTTCGTGGATGCGGATATTGGCGGCGGGGCATTTGCACGTGTCTTCCTGGTCAGGAATGAGGCGCACTATGCATGAGCCGGTGGCATGGCTGTCACAGCTGACAACGAATGAGGCAGGCGAAAGGCAATCGAATAATTCTGCTGTCGGGAGCACATGCAGGTTTTTGCCACAGACCAGGATGTGCTGGCAGCATCCTGCGCCAAAGAACATCAGCTGACGAATGCATGAACTCAACCTTTGCATGGATGGAAGGCTGCTTCTGCGCCCAGTCACCCTCAAATCATGCAAATGCATAAATACTTGCGGTACAGATTTAAAGCCTGACCCCTGAATGCTGAAATACCCAGGCGTGCGGATTGCGCAGAAAGCTTGAGGAAGTCACAAGCTCTCGGTCGCCAGGCCACGGCGGACCTGCAGGCCATGAAGCGTGACTTGGAGCTGAAAACGCACAAAAAGCCTATGACTTCCAAACTCTGACCCTGCATAGTTGTTGAAGCATGGGGTGGTTGTGTTCCCTTGTACGAGGAGTTTTCTTTCCAGACGGTTGCAACATGATGACTCGCGCGGCTTGTGCTCGTATTGCCTTGAATTTCCTTACCTTTCTGTCGGGGGAATGGTGTGGTCGCCTGTCGCATTCATTTTCATTCGGATAACAGATGCACGTCCAGAATCCGGTAACGCACATCAATCGCGTTAGCTATCCTTTAGATGCATAGTGGCACTCATGCATCGCAATAGCAAGTTCAGTCGCGGTGCAGTCTGACAGTCTGGATCATGGATCAGTGCCAGAGATGGCGGGTCAGTCGCGCAGGCACAACAAACTAAGACGCTGTGGCTGGAACATGCCCTTCCTGAAATCTGCAGATTCTGCAGCAAGGAGTCGACCGGCAGAAGCTAGCAAAGCACTTCCAGATATCGGATGCCGAAGCTGAGCAGATGGTCGAGCAGGCATCATGTTGTGAAGTATTGTTACCCAAGCCAAAGGCAATATGCGACTGCATTGGCACTGAGCACCTGCCCAAACCTCTAGGTGATAGATAATGCATGGCGCGAGAGGCAAGCAAAGGATATGAGCTGCGAGCTGACAAGCCCTCAGCAATGACAAGACGGTTTTGGTAGTATACCTGTCGAGGGATGCCAAGCACGTAGCAAGGCCAGGCTCGACAGTCACAGCTTCATGCAAGGATGCTCGTTGTCCAGAATGTTTCTGACATGTTGTGCAGCTTCGCCATGGAGTATGGGGTCATGCTGGAGCGCCCGGGCCCATTCCCCTAATACATGACAGGAGTTCTGGCAGATGCAGCGTACCAACCACCCGAACATCATCAAGTTGTTTGACTTCTTTCAAGACGAGAGATATGCATACTTTGTCATGGAGGTTCCTGCAAACGGCTGGCAAATGTAGCTGATAGAGTTTCAGGAGATTTTAAAGCTCGGCACGCCCGGATTGATCGTGATGTGCATGTTAAAAGGGCAGCGAGAGAGCTTCCCGTGTGGCTTTTGCTTTGACAGTTGTATAGGCTATGAGATTTGGGCCTGCAAGTCACGAAGCAGCAGAATATTGAGCTGAGAATCCTTGTGATGCTGCACACAAGTCTGACCAAGCCCGAACACTTGTAGAATCGAAACGAGTGACGCCAAGGCTTCTGCTTGAGAAGCTAGCAGTGGGGGGAAGGAGTTCAGCAAGCAGGATCGCAGTGTGCGTGCTATCCAAAGATCTTTCTCTCACACACCCTTGCGGAACAATTGTGTTGCCACTCTAATGCAACACAACCCAGCACGGGGCTCGATCAAACATAACCGGAAGCAGACAACTACATAAGCCTCGTGCCACAATTCGCAACATTTTTGCACTTGATTCCGCGCTGCCAGAGAAACTGACGGATGCTGCTGCAAATCTATGTCTGGGTTTCATGAAGTGATTTCTGATCATGCGCGTCTGCTAGCCTGCTAGCCTGCAACTGAGACAATTGCCACATGGTTCTGTAATGATCCTCAGTATTCGTCCGGATGTGGCCAAGAGCCCGAAAGACGACAAAAACAAGATTGGACGATAACGGCTAACAGGTACGAGGAAATACATGTCTCTTTTGTGCTAACCATCTGCCGCCACGATGAGATCCAGATGAACATGCGGGAGAGCCGAGAAGAATCAGCAAGAAATAGGAGCGGCAGCAGCAGCAAACTCCAAACCTGCTGTCCTTGCGGGAAAGTACACGATGCATCCACTGCTTCCCCTGGTCAGCTGCAGTTTGGCGCTGATGAATTTCCTGACAGCCGGGATAAAAGCTTTCCTATATAATTAGCAGCTGCGCATGACAGCAAACATACCATCACCCTTTGCCCTTTCAGTCCTTTGCCATCTCAGTTCCATACTATGTTAGCTTGTTGCCATGGAGGCCGTGAACGGTGGCACCCTTCGCCAGCTTCTCAACAGCCTCAAGACACCGATGGGAGAACGGCCAAAGCTGACCGAACCTTGAACATCCAATTACGAAACCTGTGCCTGTAAGCTTTCTCAGGCTGGGTGCGCACCCCATACTATACGCATAGCTCGAGGGCGAACTGTCAGGTAGCAATTGCCCCTTTCATGTGCAGTTGCAACCGCACAACTGAGGAAGGCTTCATAGCTGAGATGCTGCAGCATGCCCTGTATGCTCTGAGACACTTGCACTACGCCTCTCGGCACACTGCATACCACAGCGACATGTGCTCTGATGCCACCTCTGCATTCAACAACTCGAAATAAGGAATCCAGAATCCATAAGGATGCCACGTGGCTGCACCGGTAGCTGGCACTTTCTTGGCCTGGCTTCTGCTGTACTTGTAGCTTGCAAATGCCCGCCGTCCGGGAACTGAAGACACAGATCGCGCAATGAGCCAGCGCAATAACTGCCAACCATGGTTCCGGAAGAACCACAGACGAACCTCTAATAACCAACCGCCTACTTCAGATGGTGAGCGTAGGATGCTTCCAGGTTTCAAGATGCAGCTTTGCTCTGGCAGATCTTGACAAGTCAGGAGGTCATGGTAAAGATATTCCAGCTGGTGACATTGAGGAGGATCGCAGACTTCGGGACTGTACACTTCGGCGACTGTTTTCCGTTGGTTTTTTCCTTTGTTTCAGAGGGTGTTTGTCTCAGACTCTCGGTAGTAGCCTTGAAGCTGGCATTCGTTTTAGTATAGGTGTTGGTGCTGGCACTGCCATAGGCATTCAGTCCATTCAACACTAATGAGTCCCAACGGAAATCTATTCAAAATGTACTAAGATTCAATTAGATCCAAATAGAACCTAATTAAAGATCAAAACCCGATTCAAATTAAGTGAAATCCAGCTCCAACCTAATTAGAGTCTGATCATAGTCAATTGGAAATCTAGTAGAAATTAAGTAAGACTTAAGAGAAAACAATTGAAAACATATTTTAAGCAAGTGAGACCAATTGGACATCTAATGAAAACCATTTTAAAATCTCATTCAACTCTTTTCAGAATCATTCGAAAACCGACAAGAGGCTGTATTTGTTGTTGGTTCACGCAGGTTGAGATTCTTGTTCCAGCGTTTGATGCTAGTGTCCCTGGTGTTAAGCAGTACTGTTAGCTGGGGGTCGTTGGCTGGGACACACAGTGTTGTTAAGGAACCTTCCTCCAGACCGGTCTTACCATGCGAGCAAAATGCCCCGGGCAGTTTGGAAGGTTGGAACTGTCAATTTGGTTTGTAGCCCAAGTTTGCGTGTGTAGCTTTCTCTACTTACTGAGGTCCAACATTTCCCGCAAACAGGAATGGAGTACAGTGTATGTGGGAAACCCTTGACATAAATGATTCTATTTTTTTGTTGTTGTTGCTGTGGTTTATGGTCTTCATTTGCCTCAATATGTTTGACTGAAACCACTGGAAAACCTCGAGTCTCACGCATAGACTGTGAGACAGCGCAGCCTGGGGATGGCAACCCGGCCGAGCGGTATCGCCGCTTTTCCCCAAAACAAGGCGAGGAATCGAGGGATGGCGGGCTCGCTGGGAGTGAGCTTCAACAGCGAGGCCTTCTACATCCTTCTACCAGGATTTTACCCCGCTGGCAGCTGGCAGGAAGATAGCAATTACATGCAATACTGGTAACTCGTAATTTGTATACAGATGTCTGAAGGTGCTATGCTGCGCGCAAGGTTTAGTGTTAACAGGGAACGGATCTCGCCGGCGGCGCAAGGCGCAAGGAGTTTTTGGGCACGAGTCACGGACGGTCTCCAGCGGACATAGCGGACATAATGAAACCGACCGTCAAACCATGGAAAGGCCGGCTGAAAAACGTTCCAAAGACCTCTGAGTGAGAGCAACAGGAATGTCAAGGGACAGTCCGAGGGAGTGTGATGACAGTCATGTAAAGACTCGACCTAAAATGATGTGTGATATCCACGTGTACTGATCCACTTCAGGCGCTTAGCATACTCCTAACAATGCAGCCGGCAGGGTTGCAGAAACTGATTTTCTTAACTCCTGGTGTCAGCACAGTCAGGACCCCATTCCAGAGCCACAACCATGCCTGGGATGTTGCGGTCTTGGTTGATTCTGTGCCGAAGTGGTCATGAATTTGTGTTTTAATCCAGTCGCTGTATTAGTCGTCTTTCCAGATGGAGGTTACATGTACAGTCAGACAAGTGGATCTGCGCTCATGGAGCTATGGCAGCAGATTGGTATGCCCTGTTGCCCAAGTCTCCTTCGTGACGGGTGTAGGAAACGAGCGTGCTGGGGCTGAGGCTTTCAGAATGCATGCTCCGCTTCTGTACACTTTTTAACCACCAGCTTCAGCAGGGAGGAGGACTTGTGGCCATCATGAGCAAAATGGCCTACCCCGATTGCTCGGTACTTCCTGGGTGACGGCTCGGGGCTGTGCTCCGGTGGGGCTTCCGGGCCTCGCATAGCCAAGCAATCCTGGAGGGCGGCGGCCGCGGACTGTGTGAAAGACGCGAATTTGCATGCATCCCTTTGATCGACGCTCAGAAAACAAAGCTTCGTTCCAAGGTGAAGCTTGAGAACCTGATGCTGCTGAGTTCTTCGGGCCCTCCACACCTGGTGCTGATCGACCTCGGCGTGGCAGAGTCGTTGCTAGCCTTGGGATGGCATGCAACCTTCTTTGCTCGCAGTGAGTTTCCAAGCAATTGTAAGCAGCTCTGTCTAAGTTTGGGCATCCCGGGTTCCGTGTGAAACGAGATTTTGCCAAGTTTTGGCCACTTGCTGCGAAAGTGCTGATGTTCTCACCAGCTCAAGATGCGAGCAGGGCATCTCTTGAGGATACAGTTGTTGCCAATATTGCAGAGATGGGCGGCGGTTTGCATGCCTGCGTTTGCTTGCATTTGTCTGCAACAATTGTTTGCTGCCATGAGCGCTCAGGTTTCAGTCTGCTTCAGGCATCATGGGACATGGGTGGCAGTTCGGTCTGAAGATCGGAGGGCCAAAGCTTTCTGAAAGACATGTGGATGGTTGCGGGGATTCTGGGTCAAGGCTTTGACTCGCTAACATGCTACTTTCGAGTCGGACAGGCTGCAGAGGAAAACATGTGAGAAACGAAGCCCAAAACCTGCCTTACTCTTGCTGCACCACATGTCCTCATTTGCTTAAAGCCTTCATGGGGGATTGGAAGGTCTCGTTCTTGCCGACCATTTTGTGCAGGCCATTGACTCTGATTCACCGGCTTCCAACAGGATGAAGCAGCCAGTCTTTTGGTGTTCTTGCTGGTGTTTGGCAGGGGATGCGCGGCCTATGCCTGCCGGAACTCCGCAGACCATGGCCCCAGAGGCCTGTTCGACACTCGAGCTCAGATCTTGTCAAGCAGCCAAGGACTCCCCACTAGCCCCAGGTGTAAAGAAAGGCTGCCCACTTTTCTGGTGGAAGCTTATAGAAACTGCCAGAGCCTCATCCCTCCACATGGTGACTGCGCATGCCAAGTCTAGTCCGGGTAACGCTAGTCTGTCCGAGAGCGTTTCAGCGCAGGTCATTGACTGCATGCTTGGGCAAAGAAACAGCCTCAAGGCTGCATGCTGTTTGGCCCTAACTCTACGCCTTCTTTGCGAGAGGTTTGTCCTATATGCTCTATGGTTGCTGGTGAATTGTGGATGGCATCATTGCAGATGGCATGTCATGACACAAGCACATCCTCCCGTGTTGTGTCTTCAGTTGGTGTTTGCTGCCGAGACGGATTCCGCCACGAAATTGCAAGTGCAACATGCTGTTCATGGAATGTATGCCCTTGATAACAAGTGTGGTGGCATCATGCCAATTGTTCTTTTGGAAGAGATTTCAGCTAGACGGGTGCGGAGAATTCGTACTCTGTAGTGTTAACTTTCTTGCAGTCCCTACATGGAAGTTTGTGCTGCGCGTCTAATGGCTGGACTGAGCTTGCGAGAGAGAGCGAGAGAAGTTGCTGGTGAAGGCACTCTTGTCCCGTTCGCTGTTCATTTGCTCAGGTTTCGATGACCGTTGTGATGTGTTCAGCTTGGGCATTGTTGCGCAGCTTAGATCACAGTGGTAGCTGGTGTCTCAATGGCAGATATAGAGACCTATAGGGTGGGGTTCCAATGACTAGCATTAGTCGTGTTATGTATGAACAGGCAGCAACTACTAGTTCAGGTCCAGTTCCTCTCGTTCTCGTCGCAGCAGTAGTAGCCGTCGTAGTAGTAGTCGTCGTCGCCGTTGTCGTAGTAGTAGTAGTAGTAGTAGCAGGCACCACAGCTCGAGTGAGTCCACTGTGGGCTCTTGTAGTACTGAGTACTAGAAGGCCTCTTGATCGCCGCCTGTGACATGGTTCCCACCTGTGTGAAGGGAAAGCTTAGCTTGACTGCACTGACAAGCCTTTTGCTGAGACACCTGGACCTGCACCGAGTCCACAAGCAGGTGCCGGCGACATGTCGGCCACAACGTTCGTGACTAAGTGGGATTGCTGAGTCAACATCCAACCGACAGTACAAGGAGCTTGCTCCTTCGCTATACGCTATGCCTTTCACGGCTAATGGTCTAAGCGCAACGGTTCAGAAATTCGATGCTTAAGGGTCTAACCGCAAAAGCGGAGAAATTCAGGCTTTCACAGAAGTGGAGAAATTTGGCTTTCACGGCTACGGGTCTAAGCGCAAGGGTTGAGAAATTGGATGCTTAAGGGTCCAACGGCAAAAGTGAAGAAATTTGGCTTTCACGGCTAAGGGTCTAAGCGCACGGGTTGAGAAATTAGATGCTCAAGGGTCTAACCGCAAATGTGGATAAATTTGCCTTTCACGGCTACGGGTCTAGGCGCGAGGGTTGAGAACTTGGATGCTTAAGGGTCTAACCGCAAAAGTGGAGAAATTTGGCTTTCACGGCTAAGGGCCTAAGCGCCAGGGTTCAGAAATTAGATGCTTAAGGGTCTAACCGCAAAAGTGGATCAATTTGGCTTTCACGGCCAAGGGTCTAAGCGCAAGGGTTGAGAAATTGGATGCTTAAGGGTCCAACGGCAAAAGTGACAAAATTTGGCTTTCACGGCTAAGGGTCTAAGCGCGAGGGTTGAGAAATTAGATGCTTAAAGGTCTAACCGCAAAAGTGGAGAAATTTGGCTTTCATGGCTAAGGGTCTAAGCGCAAGGGTTGAGAAATTAGATGCTTTAGATGCTTAAGGGTTTAACCGCAAAAATGGAGAAATTTGGTTTTCACGGCTAAGGGTCTAAGCGCAAGGGTTCAGAAATTGGATGTTTAAGGGTCATTAAGGGTCCAACGGCAAAAATGAAGAAATATGGCTTTCACGGCTGAAGGTCTAAACCCTCGCGGGGTCAAACTGTTTCATGTTGAGCCTGGGCCGCCCTTGATGGATCTAAATGTTTGATGTTAAGCCTGGCCCCTGGAGGGGTCAAAATGATTGATGTTAAGCCCGGGCCCCTGGAGGGGTCAAAATATTTGATGTTAAGCCTGGGCCCCTCGAGGGGTCAACATGTTTGAAGTTAAGCCTGGGCCCCTGGGCCCCTGGATGGGTCAGAATGTTTCATGTTAAGCCTCGGCCCCTCAATGGGTCAACATGTTTGATGTTAAGCCTGGGCCCCTCGAGGGGTTGGCCCTTCGCGGGGTCAAAATGTTTCATGGTATGCCTGGGCCCCTGGAGGGGTCAAAATGTTAAGCTTGGGCCCCTCGAGGTGTGGTGGCGGTATTTTGTCGGGTTTTTTTTTCCGCAAGCAGGCAGCAACCAAGCGAGCAAGCAAGCAAGCAAGCAAGCAAGAAAAGCCAGGAAGAGCGCGTGCAAGCAAGCAAGCAAGCAAGCAAGCAAACAAATCGCTGATAGCAGTAGTAGTAGTAGTAGTAATTAGTAGTAGTAGTAGTAGTAGTAGTAGATGATGTAGATTGCAAGACCAGCATATGTTGTAAATTCACGCATGTAAAATTTTCCAAGACCAGCAGATGCTGTCACTTACAGCATTTGAAGCATCCCAAGACCAGCAGACACTATAATTTACACCGTTTGAAGCGTTCCAAAACAAGCAGATGCTATAATTTACAGCTTTTGAAACGTTCCAAGTCTAGCAAATGCTGTAATGTACAGCGTTTGAGCGTTCCAAGTCTAGCAAATGCTGTTATTTACAGCGTTTGAGCGTTCCAAGTCTAGCAAATGGTGTAATTATTTTGCAGCATTTGAAGCATTCCAATCTGGTCTTTGGTCCCGTGGTCGGGTTGTTCCCATTACCAGGTCATCACGCACTTGCGAAGCGAGCATAGGCATCAAGCAAAATCTTTTAAGCATCAGAAACTTTAACATGCGTCAACAGTTTGCTAAGTGAGCTGCGAAGAGCGAGTGTAAACGCCCCTTCGCAGGACCAGGCAGTTCCGGTGCTCTGGTCATGTGGTCCTCTGGATCTCTGGTCCTCTGCTCCTCCGGTCTTGTGGTCCTCTGGTCCTGTCAACTTGTAGCTCGCTGATGCTATGGTTCCAGATCTTGCATCACGTAGAAATCTCAGAATGTCGTAATGCCCAATTTTTTGGGTATACAAGATGGTGCAAGATTTCCTCCATCTTTTCTGGTCCTGGCAGCATTTGTGGGTCATCTTTTAGACTCTCGGATCCTCTAGTTTGAAACATGTCAACAGTCGCAAGGATCGTGGGGTCGGGGTCGCGATCCTCGTAACTGTCGTCGCTGTTACCCTTGGAGCCTCTTGGGCCATCCATGCTTCTAGTAAAAAAGACGCATCATGCCATCACCATGTGTGCAGTGAGGGAGGGCTATGCGGATCATTTTGTGTGCAAATGAGGGGGGCTGCACCCCCCCAAACCCCCTTTGTTTTAAAGCCATCCATGCTTCCAATAAAGAGGAAACATCATGTCATCACCATGTTTGCAAGAAGGGAATGTTGTGCGGATGATTATGTTTTGCAAATGGGGGGGCTGCGCCCCCCCCAACCCCCCGCTGTTTTAAAGCCATCCATGTCTGCAATTAAAAGGAAGCATCATGTCATCACCATATTTGCAATGAGGGAAAGTTGTGCAAAACATTTTTTGCAAATGGGGAGCTGCGCCTCCCCATCTCCCCGCTGCTTTAACATGTCATCACCCGGTTTGCAGTGAGGGAAGGTTGTGTGGCTTGCGTTGTTCGCGCCTGATATTTTCAGAGTATGTCGTTCTCCAAGTTCTCCGTGTGAACAAAGAATGGATTTAAGAATAGCTGCTATAGACTCTTCGATGATATGGTGATTCCTTTTGAACTCCATATTTCCGTATCAACCAGCAATTAAGTTGGACACACCAAGCCTGCAACTAAGTCTTACTTGTACCCCCAATTCCAAACGCCCAGTCTTTTCCCACTAGTTCAAGGAGGGGAACATTGCAAGACCAGCATATGTTGTTAATTTAAAGCATGTAAAATTTTCCAAGATCAGCAGACGCTGTCACTTACAGCATTTGAAGCATCCCAAGACCAGCAGACACTATAATTTACACCGTTTGAACCGTTCCAATACAAGCAGACGTATAATTTACAGCTTTTGGAGCGTT